AAAAAAAAAGTGATCTGTAACAAGGGAAGACTAATGTTCTCGATGGAAAGAAATGAATATACCCACAGCTTTTTAATGTTGGTTAACATAAAACTGGCTTTGAAGATTAAATGAAGAACATCCTTTCTATTATGATTCATCTTACTTCCAGATGATTAGTAATGTCAGACCATAAAGATTGTAAATTTTTTAAAGAAAATGAGGGAGTAGGATTTGAAATATGCTCCAAAAATCCAACAGCAGTAACTATAAAATGGTTGAACAAACTTTATAAATTGTCATGAATGCTTTATAAAGAACGATAAAAATATGCCTTTGAGGTCTTTCCTCATTGAGAGCCCTTGCAATCTTTCCCCATGAATGAGCTAATTGATATCTTTTCAACTGACCAAAGTTATATAACAATAGTAAATAGATGTAAAATATTTTATAAGCACTCATAACCCGCCACTGCAGGTTAGCAGCCCTTTCCAGCATGCTCAGTGCTGCGGCTGTGAGAAGGTCACTACTGCAGCCGCTGGCTGGACTCAGAGCTGACATCCGAGCTGAGTCATGCTGTACTCAGTCTTTGCTTCTTAAGTTCAGAACTCTACTTTTCAGCCTGCCTAGAGAAAATCAGGGTTTTAGTGGCCAACATGTTCATCAAATCATTCAATAAGTCATTCAGAAGTCATGGCACACAGGATGGGGGAAAATGAGTCAGGAACCAGCTGCCAGATGTGACTCTTACTTAGCTCTCCCGCTTGGGTGTGTGGCCTAACCTTTATGTGGCTCAGCTAGTAGTCAGTCAAACGTGCATAATATAAATTCCAACCTCACAAGTTACGAGAATTAATTAGAAAACCTTAAGACAGTGCCTGGCATTGTAGTAAGGATTATGTAATTGCTGAATATAAAAGTGAAATTCATGGATCTGTCCCAGAAGTATTCATTACATGCCTACCAAAGGGCAGGCACTGCGGGCTGCTCTGGATGACAAGGCGTCTGCCCTCATGGAGCCAACATTCTGGTTGGAGAAAGGAGACGATAAAAAGGTGAAATATTAAGAAGACAAGATTACTTCAAACACTGATCGTTCTCCTGGAGAAAATAAACTGGGTGATGAAATGAAATCTGAGGTGGGGAGATAAGGAATTAGTCAAGAGATGTTCTTTTTATTGAGCTGGGGCCTAGAGGATGAGGAGCCGGCCACGTGAAGCACTGACAGGAGAGCTAGAAGGGAGAGAGTGGACAACCTAGTGTGAGCAGAGCTTTGTTAGAGAGGATGGGTAAGGCTATCTAGTAAGGGGTTGCAGAGTCGGACAAGGAGCTGATAATTTAGAGACTGGTAGGTCATGCTAAGGAGTTTGGATTTTAGTTTTGACTTTAAAGAGAATTTATCTCTATTACGGCTCTTTTAGTTACAAGTCCACAAATTTTACTTAAATAATAGAATAAAAATGTTGTTGCGTATCATCAAAACATATTCAAAGGGTAAACGTGATCCCAGCAGAACTGGATTCAGACCTTCGACGATCATGACTTCAGGATAATTTTTGTTTCTCCATCTTTTTTCCTCTTTTGGTTCCACTCTCAGGCGAGCTTAACATGATAAAGACAGCTGCTATCGTCTCCACACAACCTGTTTTTCAATGATTACAGTGAAAATCCCTTAAGGTAACTCATTGTTCTGGATTGTCATGAACTCAGTGTGATCTGCGGTGCCTGAATGATTTGCTCACCCCTACGGCCAGGGGGATAGGTCAGTGTCACAGGAGCACTATGGAGAGAATGGCGATGAAGGGCTTTCCCAAAGGAAAGTTGAAGTGTTCCCAGCAGAACAAAAGGGGATGGATTCTGAGCAGGTAAATGCAAGAGATTTCTATCAGATGTTGAAGAGTTTTAACCAAGTAAGTGATACTCTTGGTTAGTAGGCACACTTTTTTTGATCCATAATTTGTTCATTTGAAAATATAATTTTTCTTATTTTTCTACAATTTAAAAGATTCTCTCTTTAGCTGCCATCCTCTCTGATGGCAGAAAATGTAACCTTCCCAATGCCAAGGAAGCTCAGTCAGATTAGTGATTTTCCTTCACCTCATTCCTCTCTTTTCAGCTGAAATGATCTGCATGGTCGTGTGCTTATGCAACATCGTGGCTTAATGAGTTTGGCTTTGGGGGAGTTCAGGAATAAGGTCCCGGTTCCTCATGTGTCCATTCTGACATCTATTGAAAGGTCATTTTCCACTTTTCTTTATGTTTCAGCATGTCTCCAGTGGCATCTGTGGAGAAGGCAAATTTCCATCTGATGTGCACGCACTGGTCCATGCACACTACATCCTCTTAGCTCCTCAGAAGAATCAATCCTGCATCCTTCTAAAAACCAGAGAAACTTTCTGATTCTCTCCAATACCATCAAAACTTGGGGAAGCACATCCATCCCTCTGCCCAGAAACTGTGCTACTGTGTCTAGTGCTCGGATAAGACCCCTGGGTGTGAGGATCACAGGAAGACTTCCTGTCCCCTTAGGCTCACTCATAGGCTGGGCACACGAAGTCTGCTCTCTGATCTTAGCCTCTTTTGGAATGGAGACAATATGGAGAAAATGGCCTGAGGTGCTCCAGAGAATGACCCAACCTTTGTCTCTATCGCTCTCTTCTCAGGGTCTTCTTCTCCTGCCTCAACCCTGATTTTTTTTTTTTTTTTAACAACTTTAGGGTAGAAAAACTGGCTCTTTCATTATATGCATTATTCTTGATGCTATTTGTGACATACAGCAATTTAAATTTTAGTAATCAAAAGCCAGCCTCTAGGAACTTAAAAATTATTTACCATATCCTATATTCTTTGCTTAGCATTTTAAAAAATCTGTTTTTGTTTTTTTTTAGAATTGACTTTTCTCTGTTTGCTGTGACTTCCTTTCCTTAAAGCATCCAGCCCAATCCACCCTGGCTGATGTCTGAACATCCCTCTATTGATAAAACCTCAGTGTGTTCCAGATCCATTGTCAGTTTTTCTGGGAGTGTGATGGTGTACAAGAGAAAGTTAATTTTTCTGAACCCTGTCTTCCAGGTGGCCAGATGACTTATTTATGTATTTTCCTAAAATAGAATTTCCAAGAGCATTTTTAATGAGCAATTGCAAAATTCAGTTTTTGATGATAAGCAACAAAAATCTATTTTATTTTAAGGGGTTTCCTTGGTTCACATCTGTAGCTCACAGATGGAACGGCATACTATAGAAAATTAGGTAGCTTGTCACCACTATGGTGGTAAAGAATACCTGTGACCATCACTCATATCTTTGCATCATTTATTCAGGTCCAGGGAGAGAGCATCTCATTGGCCTGGCTTATATCACCTTCTACCCACAGAACGCTCTGGGGCAAGGAGAGGGGTTATCTGATGATCTCCATGACTCTATAATAGGAAGCAGAAGCTGCTTCTCACCAAGATGCACACAATGGGAAAAGGCAAACTTCAAGGTGGTATGAGAAAAGAGCAGAACTACTGCACAGGTAAAATAACTAGGTCCATTGCCATGCTTCTATGAGTCTATATTTTATATATAACAATGCCTACGGACAATTTACTTAATTCTCCCTTCTATGCAAAGTTTTAGTTGTGTTATATGTATAAAGGAAGAGCACACAAATATTTAGATTCTCTGCTGACCTGTATGGATCTTTCTTTTCTAGTAACAAGTAGAAAATAAATGAAATGTCAGAGGTAACATAAGAAACCTAGTTTGGAGAAGAGTCAGAAGATATAGAAAGAGTAGGGTAAGAGAAGGGGAATGAGAGAAAGTCTGGAGTGTGAGAAAGAAAGAAAAATAATTCAATTTACAATGATGCTATGAAGCAGCTTTGAATGGAAGACACCTAATGAATTTCTCTCTCTTTCTCTCTCATCCTCCTTCCATGGCTCCCTTCCTCCCCCTGTCTCTCTCTTCTCCTCTTTAATTTTATTTTGACACCAATAGCCATTCCTTGGTATCCGATGCTGGCAAAAGACTTATGAGGTAACTTCTATAATCTTAACTACACTCCTCACCCAAATGATCACCACAAAATGACAATTCAACAAAAAATAAAAATATTACACAAGTATTTTTAGAATTTTATTTTCTTTTTCCCCTAAACTTCTAGAATCACCTTTAATGTGTTCATTGGAGTGAATTTGTCAGCATTTCCCATATAAAGCTGACTTACAGCTTTGGCTTCCTGTCATGGTTATGTGGTGAATAATCATAATGTGCTTTGAAAATGTATAGTTTTGTGTAAATCTAAACTACAGTTCTATGAAAGCTTGCCCACAAATGTGTTTTCACTAAATTTGGACAGCTTACACTGAATGGTGAGAAACGTGTATAACTCCATTTCCCTAACTTTAATGATTTTTTTAACAAAGTTCCCTTTAAATCTTAGCTGGATACAGACTCACAAATTTATTCACTCAGCTCAGTAACTGATAGGTGTGTCACTAGATTGGCTGCAAGTTTTTGATAGGATTCAAGCTATATAGCTTCTTGTGATTCCAGTTGTACGGCTTTTTAATAAAAATAAAAATACTCATCATTACTATCTTCAATAATTATTGAATACTGACTATCTTCCAGGAACTGTGCTCAGCACTTTAAATGTCATGTTTCTTTCAACCCTGATAGCCACCTTATGCGATTATACATTATGTTATGTATTAAGATACCTATTATCATTGTTATTATCCCAATTTTACAGATCTCATGAACAGCTAGTAAGTAGTGGGACAAGACTCCAAATCAAGGTATGCTTATTCAAGAACCCATTTTTCATTACATAATTCTGAAAGTGATGGGCTGGAGTGTGCTTTTGGGCAAGGGATGCTTTCTTAAATTTAACTTTCTAACCAGTACTTAAATGCATGAGATTGATGACAGCACTCTAATATGTATTGACTTGATATTGGAATAGGACTTTTGCTAAGCCCACCAAGACACCAAGTCATTGATTTATTTTACTTTCTTCACAGCACTTCTCCAATATGAGTGTGAGTTGAATAGAACAACAGCTTTGCCTTTCCTACACTTGTTTCCAGAGCATCTTAAGAAATTGACCCATAGCAAGAACTCTGAATATTCATTAAATGTTGAAGTTGCAGATTGAATCCAGACCACGAAAATAAGCACTACATCAGATATCTAGATGAAATGAAAATCAAGCCACTATCCCATGGATACTGTAATCCGTTTCCCAGTTCTTTCTTTTTTGCATTCATGTTTATGAGTGTGGGCATTGTGTATCTGTGTGTGTCAGTATTAATTGTGTACTGATTTAATGAAATTCCATGTCTGTGGGAGAACACTCAGAGTACTTTCTCCAGCCTTACTAGCATGGAGTCTGAAAATATTTAAAGCCCTAAATGTCTTTGAAAATTATTTTTAAAACAACATATAAAGGTGATTAAAAATATGAGCTCTTGATCTGGCAGCATAGGTTAAAATCTCTATAAATTCTAATTTTCTAGTTACTATATCTCTTCTTATGTTTCTCATACACATATAAGCATTTACTTTTCTTTGATTACAATGTTTATATGTTTCATTTCATTTCTAATTTTACTGGTTTCAGTTTCCAGTTGAATGTTGAATAGAAGCAATAATAGCTAGAATCATTGTCCTGTCCTTGATTTTAAAGGCAATGCTTTCAAATAAATTACAATAGTTGCTTTATATTATTATTAGATTTCTATTACTAACTGTACTGGTTGTCAATTTATTTCCTCTCAGCTCCAAGTACATACCTTATTGCCTACTCTGTGAAAATGGAGATGGGCCCTTTATATATTTTTGCTTTGACAGTTGGCATGTTGCTAAACTTTGACAGTAGAGGGCAATAAAGATAACATGGGTTATCCCTTCTGGTGAGGAGCGCTCATTGGGCATACTCCTGCAGCTCACTGGGGTTCTCCAGTGCCAGCTCCTTCAGTACAGGTAGCTTTTCCAGTGTCCAGCTCTTGAAGCACAATAGCTTCTCCAGGGCAAGGCTCCTGTAGCACAGGCAGCTTCTCTAACATGAGGCTCCTGGGGTACGTGCAGCTTCCCAGCATCCAGCTCCTGCAGCACAGGCTGCTTCTTCAGCTCCAGGATCCAGCAGTGCATGGAGGTCAGCAGCAACCAGTGGCTAGTGGCATCCATGGGCAGCCACCTTGCATTGTTTCATTGCATAGTTCCTCCAGCAAGACATCCCTTCAAGAATGGCTTTCCTCAAAGTCCTAGAGTAGGCTTTTGGCAATTTCTAGAGGGCAGATTTCCAGCAAATTCCACTGGTATAACACTACAATAACTTCTCAGCCCTCTTTTTAAGGAAATCTGGATCTCAGTTGGGGATAGAAGGAGGAGGGTCTCTTTTGGGCACTGTAGCTCAACCCTAGAAGCAATGCTGCTTCTTATATATGCTACATTCTTTAGCATTCTCTTTATTTCTCACTAATCAATCCCTCACTTATCCCAATAGTTTATTATAGTTAAAAATTCTTTGTATTAAACTTCCCCGGTTCAAATTGCTGTGTGGTTTCTGTCTCCTGATTAGATCCTGACTGATAGATCAGGTTAAGTAAATTTTCTCCTATAATTATTTTGATAAAATTTTTATTGTAAATATTATTATGAATGGACTCTGAATTTAATCAAAGGCATTTTCTACACAGATTGAGATAATTATTTTTTAAATTTGATAATGTGGTGATATATATTAATTTTTTAAAAAATATGAAAACATTCTTTCACTTCTTGGATAAATCCAACACAGCCATAATTTTTTTTATGTACTGTTATCTTTGGTTTGCCAATATTTTCCTAGAATTTTTGTGTGTATGTACAATACACACAAGGTTGAGCTGTAATTTTCCATTCGTTTGTCCTTACCTGGTATTAGTTTCAAGCTTATGCAAACCTCATGAAATGTCTTGGAAAGAGTTAGACCGCAATTATCACTCCAATTCCTTTTCTTTCTGGCTGCCTTTTTCCCTTTCCTTGAGCAGCTGCTATAGAATCTCTGTTTATTCTCTCTGCCTTTGCCTTAGATCTCCATCACCTTTAATTTGGGCTATAACGAAGTCTTCCTCCGTTTCCCAACTGTGTTCTCCCTTACCCATATAGCTCTCCGAGTTAACACTCTAAACATCAGCCTTAGATAGTGCTCTATTTTCTTACATAATAATACTCCTGAAAACTTACCAAAAGTAAATATGTACAAGCCACCAATGGAATTATGTACTATAAGGAAAACTTTCTTGCTGAAGGACTAAAAATTGATCACAAATTCCCCATTGAGATTCATCTTTTATATAGTCTTTAGCATGTGTTCTTTCACTTTGTTTTTTTCCTTCCTAATTCCCCATGTAGTCAACAGGCTTAGGTTTGATGAGTCTCTGTGTTCAGCCTAATGAGTTCCATCTTTATCTCAAGTTTATTAAGTTCATGAGATCTTTGCTTGTTATCACTAATAGCACTTGAGGGGGGACAATATTTCCATTTATAAAACAATAAAAGTAAAATACAATAAAACATAACATATAATTTTTTATAATTTCTGTGGTCAAATGCCAACATACTTATATATTATACGGCAAGAACTACAACCATAAAAGTAACTTATTACATGGGATACAAATATGTAAATTTAGAACATAAAAGGCAGTTTTAGGGATTTAAAATATAATTTCTAAAAGTGAGCACAGTTTGAAAATATCTAAATGATCAAGGGCTCTATTTACAAAAACTTTTGGTGTTTATTATTCCCTTAAAAATAAGTCTAAACTTTCGAGCGTGTCATTCAATACCATCTGCAACGCTAGCTTACTTTTCAAGCTAGAGCCTTCAGCATTCTCTTGCTTCCATTACCCCCATGTACCATTCACCATTGTCTAACATGCTTGGTTTTCATGCCTGTTTCTGTACTCATGACTTGCTCTCAATCTGGCTTTACCATCTCATCTTCTCTTCTTTCAAAGTCACTCTAATTTTTCCAAGTCTTCTGGAAACACTAACTCCAACATGAATCTCTCTTCGCCCTTAACCATCCCTAGAACAAATTTGTTTTCTTTTATGTTTCCAGCATATTTTATTCTTTTGAAACTGTATCTTTTGATTGGAGATAACTTTACCAGTTTAAGGTACAGTATAAATCAAGTCTCCTATTAATATTTCAATTAAATAGCTTGAGTCATCATTTAACCTCTTCCAACAATTCCCTCTTGCTCCCAGGGTCTACATTCTAGAACAACTCTGAGAATAATAAAAGTTCTAATAACTGCTGACACTTGCGTAGTACTTACAATATGTGTTTTCCATACATTGATGTATGTGGCTATGACAACAACCCTGTGAGTAGATATTATTATAATGCCTTTTAATATAGTAGGATACTGAGATATAGAAATGTTAAGTAATTTGCTCAAGGTCACACAGCTGGCCTCTATGGCCTGGGTGAATCACTCAGAGCTTTACAGTGAGAGGAGCTATAAGCAAAAGGTAAAGAAACTGGTTTTGTTAGTAACTGAAAACCAGGTCGGCACAAGCAGCTTTGGGGCCCAGATGACATATTGTGACACAGTAAGAGAAAGAGACTCTCTTCTGACTTCTGAGTGGCTCTCATCCTGGCCTTAGTGCAATGAGGACTCAGGAGGAGACAGTGGCTCAAATACCTTTGAGTGTTCCATCTGAGCAGCACTGGAAGCCAACAATCAGCACATTTATCAGCCTACTCATAAAGTACGTAGCAGCGCTGACACAGCGAAGGCTTCAGTTTGGAGGATATTGATGAGAAAAGCACTGGATGTTAGAAGTGTTGGGGAGATCTCTCTGGGGATGTCAGTAACTAGATGAGACTCAGATAAACTACAAGTCCTCCATAATGAGCAGCTGAGCAAGAGACAATGAAATCTGTATCGTTATAGGATGGGAGACTCCCAAGTTCCTGTAGTTTTGTGACATCTAGTATGACTTTGGATACACAGATGATTGTATTATCTCTCATCTATAATTATCTTTCAAGATATTATCATTTCTATCTCAGGTATCTAAGGAAGTAAAATTCAGAGAAATAACTAACTTACTCAAGACCAGGATTCTTATAGGTAGCAGAGCTGGGACATAAAAACAGCTAATTCTGACTCTAATGTTCACATTCTCTCCACTGTGCATACTGTCTTCCTGTAATGGATTAAAAAAAGAAAGAAGAAAATTGTATCTTCTGTTCGACACCAGGAAAAGCATTCCTTTCTCTATACTCGGCATTTCTCATGACCCAAAAATTAGAATTCATTGATAATTTCATAAAATGAAGTCCCCAGTGAAGAGTTCTGTCCTCACCTGAGTTAGATAAACCTCAGTATGCTGCTGCAATCTCATAATTCTCAATGTGGTTTCCCTTAGACAATGTGATTTCAGAGGTAGCTATCACTTCTGATGTGTGAATAAATGCATCATATACCACGGTTATTCACTATCAGTTCATATGGCACACAGATGAGAGCAGGACCTTCCTTTTCCCACAGGCCAACCTCACAGAAGTACTTTCTTTAACATTTTCAACAAAATGTGCCTCTCAAGACATTATATTCACCATAAATCTGAACATTATCCTACTTAAGAAATTCAGTGAACCTCTTATTAAAAAAATTAAATTCTATCTCAAAAGTAGAAAGGAGAAAAGGTGTTATAATATCATTGATGGAAATATAAATCAAACAGAGGACTCTATTGAATTTGTATTGAGTTCATATTAGTTCTGATGGAATTATTAATTTTATTTGTCATAGGAAATGTGATCATGCATCAGATTTAATTCTGGATAATTTACAACACCATAATCCAGAGGGAAAAGAAGGAGGAACATTGCTTATGGGCAAAGTGAATGGTTTCACTGAGAACCTGTCTGCTGATTTTATGTGGGTCAGGGAAGCATATGATTCATTTGGGCACCTTGGCTGAAGGTGTGACTCCCCAGGGTGGGCTACTTTAATCTATGTCTACTTCTGTTTCTCTATGAGCCTGCTTGAATTGATTTTGTCAAGCTGGTGAAGTGATGCCATCCTCCCCTTCCTTGTACTAAATTCTGACTGGCTAATAATCAGCAAAGTTTCAGAAAATGAAACCCCCATGGTGGAATTAAGAATTTAAATCTCCATGCTACACACTTAGTGTTTTGATTGGAATGCACGAATGTAACAGATTTATATAAATGTATAATTTTATAAACTATATGTATTAGCAGGAGGGGAGGGGAAAGAAAACAACTTTGTCTGGGAGTCACTCTCTTATAGTTATGTAAAAGTTTCCGAGCTAACTTCCTGAAGGAAAATGAAGAATATATTTTGCCAAGAATGTTTTCCTCCACTATTTTAATCCCAATAAGTTCTATGTGTCTCAAAAACAAATTCATTTTTCTCTAACGTCTTTAATTTGTTGATGCTCATGATTTTCTCAATATTAATTTGAATCAAGGTGTGAAATAAAACATTAGTTTCAAAAAGATGTATTTTGAGTTTTGTACTTGCTTAGAATCTAAATAGGTTTTTTTAAATATTTGAGGTTTTTCTTCCTCTGTTAACAATCATGAATAATCTACTATTCTTGCACAATGTAGATGATTAAACAATAAAACATGGAAGCAAATCCAATAATGGAATAACAATGAAAACTGAGGAGGGTTGCACCAACACTAGGCCACGATATTTCACTGAAATGGTTGATATTTCTTAACAAATAATGTGTTTCTGCTTTTGAGGCTGGTTTGTGAGAGGCGGATTGACTGCCGAAAATTTAGTAAACTGTTAGAATATCTCAAGAAGGAAAATTTGTTGAAACAAATCTTCAGGTAAGCACTAGAACCTAAAAATGCTGCAAAATGAATGCCCACCCTGTCCTCTTAGCTGCGAATGCCTTATCCGCTTGTCTCTCATCACCCTATGCCACCCCCACCTCCAGCTGGCCAAACTCTTTTTATGTTACTAAATCTGGTTCAAATATCACCTTCTCTGTAAATTCCCCCCATATCTTTCTTGTTCCTTTCAAACCAGTTCTCCCCTTTAAATGCCCAAATTGTTACCTGTATCTTTCCTGAGGCAGATTTACTTCTCTTTACCATGGTCATTTGAAGTACTGTCTTATTTTTCCTACTTGACACCGAAAGCTATTACAGTTCAGGTTTACTATCCGATTCATCTTTGAATTCTTCACAGGGCTTAGGGAGTGCTCCACTCAGATCAGGAATGATAATTAAGAGCTTTCGCTTATTGAGAGTTTACTATCTGCCAATCAGCCTGAGAGGTTTTATTTAATCCTTCAAAAACCATACAAGATAGATACTATTATGATTTCTATTATACAAGTATGAGACCTGAGACTCCAAGAGAATGAATAACTAGTAAATATTCAAACATGGGACTCAAACCCAGGCAGTGTGATTTCAGAGCTAGTGCTCAAATCAAATAAAAAGAAAAGGCACTAAATCATAAAAAAAGTGAATTTACTAAGTAATGGAGAAAATCAAAATCAATACAAAACAGAGGCTAAGATTATGTTTTCCAACCTTCTACTACAAGAGCATTCGAATAATTGAATCCCCACTTTTCATGCTCTAACCCTCTTGAAACCATCACAAAAACAGCACTCCATGGTTTCCATGGTCTTCAGGTCAGTTTTATTCTAATAGGTAGAGCCAGGATTTAAATCCAAGAATATTGAAATCCAAAGCCCTGTGTTAACCACTACGCCAGGGCTCTCTAATCCCTTCACCCTTTATTTTCAACTTCTGTTGTGCTCCTTAGAGCTCATTTGCACTGTGTTCCTCTGTTGCCCAGTTGACCATGACATAAACCTTCTCCCTTTAAAGTCTGTCTCATATATTCTTCATCTTCTAATTTCTCCCCCAGCCTCCTGTTTCCAAGGTCAAACAAGTCATCTTTTTCATTCTTTCCTGAAGGTCAAATTTTAGGACTCGTAACATTCTTGCTGCTCCTGTCTTAAGTTATGCACACATGACATTAATATTAACTGACTGCTTTGAATTATTCAGTTGTTGATGTAATAATTGTCATGCGCATTTTTCTGAAAACAATAATTGCAAGATTGCACAGGCTGATTCGGTAACTCTGCTGTCATGTGCATGAATATAAAAAAGAGCAGATGAGAGTAAGGGAAAGTAACTGCCAGCTGGAACTTTGGAAAAGAATGATGTTCTGTAACCTCAGGAGCCACTGAGCACAACTGAACCCTGTCTATTTTTGGCAATATATTAAGGATACATGTAATATAGTGGCTTCCCAGCCCTGCCCCCTACGCTTTTGGGTGTATGGAACTGATCTAATGTATAATGGTAAGAGCCTTGTAATCTTGGTTGCATGGTGCTTTGAGTTAGACTATAGCTAAGAACTATTTTTGGCATTTTCTTTCTATCGGAATTCATAATGATATAGCAATCCTGGACACACATCTTTCCTATGTTCCAATATTTCTGTACTTGCTCTATAGAGAACATGATTTTTCTGTACACAGAGCATACAGATTTTGTGAGCTTATTATACAGAGCTTTAGTATTGATCTTAGTTTTTTGTTTTTTTTTCATTAGCCTCTATCAAAATGCATGGGAAGAAAGAAGAATTTCATCATTTTGTTGCATATACCATAAAATACAAAGTCATTTCCTCCCTCATACTCTTTAGGGCTTTTCCTTTAACTTGAATTTCTCCATCAGAAAAAGTATATAAAAGAAGCACTGAGTAACTGTAAAATATGTCTTAGTTATCGCCATAACTATGATTATTATTATAGTTGCTATTATTGTTTTCATTATGAGGCAGAGAAACAGTCATCACCAGCATTGTCTTATTATTGTTTGCAATGTGAGAATTTAACTTGCTTATGTCAGTGATGAGTTTCCATAAAAAGCCTCATCTGAGTATGTACTCAAGTCCACCTTGAATAGGTCTTTATTCTTGATCCATGTATAATTTAAATATGTCCTTGCATTTCCTTTTTTTGGTTTTGATTCTAATCTGCTCTCTTATTATCACGTGTACCTCAGCCCCAATGCCGCCCTACTTTGGAACACTTCTCAAACCTTCATGTGCATAGATATCACCTGGAAATCTCACTAATAGCCCCATTCTTAGTAGGTCTGAGTTGAGGCCAGAGATTCCGTACTTCTAACAAGTTCTCAGGTGATGCTGCTGCTGGTGGTTCTGTGGACAACACTTTCAATAGAGAACAACTATATGCATATTAAGTTTAATGTCAATTAAACTAATGTAAGAGGTATCCTTGATTCTTCTCTCTTCTTACATGCAAAACCAATCAGTCATTCATTCAACAAATATTTACTGAAACCCATTCTGAATCAAATATTCTTCATTCTAGTGCAGAGGCACCTACTTTTTTTCCATTTCCACTGCCACTACCACCAAGTTCATGCTACTATTATCTCTCTTCTGGGCTTTTGCAATAGCTGCTAAATGCATCTCTCCACATAACATTCTTGCTTCCCTCTTAAATCCAGTTTTTAATAGCAAAAAAAAGAAAGTAGATGTTAAAAAATGCATTTCTAATCATAGCGTTTCAGCATATCAAATACTTCAAAAGCTTCCCATTGACTTTAAAGATAAAATCCCAAATTTTTAACATAAAAAATCAGCAAGATCCTGCTTACATTAATACCTTCATTTCCCATCACTCTCCTTCTGGCTTTTGATGTTCCAGACACTATGGCCCTCCTTTGGTTATTAAAATTGCTAAGCTTCTTTCCATTTCAAGTCTTCTGCACATGTTGCCCCTTTGCCTGGAATGCTCTTCCTTTTCTACTTTATCGAATACTATTCATCCTTCATAAATCAGATTAATGTCACTTCGTCAGAGAACCCTCATTTGACCTTTCAGATTAAGTCAGAATATCCAGTTACTAGTTCTTTTGGTGCCACTTGTTTCTTATTGGGGGCACTTTTCATAGACATAATTACAATATTAAAGATGCAAATTAGTCCGCTTACTCTGAGAACTAGTTGCATGAGGGCATGAATCTTGTCTTTTTCTTATTTTTATATACCTAGTTCCTAGCACAGTGCCTGGTATATAGATGTCAACAAATATTTAATAAGTGATTTTAAAAAATAGGAAGAAGTTAGAACATCCTGGTCCATCTGTATCCCTCTGTGAAAAATGGAAGTAGTTTGTCAATTTTCAATGACCACTCTATAACAAAATACACATTAAAATGTTATCTAGTCTCTTAGATGTATTCATAAGGTGTTGCTGTATCTTTCAGTGCTCCCATGTCATTAATATGGTATCCATTTTCCTTTAAAGTTCATGAGATGACTAACAGTAACTTAAATTTCTTGCATGTGAAAAATAGAACCCCAGCTGTTTATGTATTTGAGAACTGTTTAATATACTGCCACATACTACCTCCTACTGCTTCATAAATTGTTTCTGATGACACACGGTCTTTGTAGATGGTAAATTATTACATGTGTTTAAGAATCCTTTGTCAAAAAGCAAGATAAATCTCTGGGAACTACATCCCAGAAAACTTTTGTAATTACATTATTTGGGTAATCTTTTCTCTGGCTGACGAATGTCATTTGTAAAAATGTGTGTTGAAACTATTTCTGAAGTTCTACCACCACCGTGGGCCTAAGGGGATGGAAATGGAGTTTCTGATAATGGTCCTTGAACCCTGCATGCCCCTAGATATTCAGGACCACAAGTATGCCAGTCTAGGAGACCTATGATCTCTTGAGTAAGTATTATTTTAGAAATATTTTTCAAGTTCTGGAAATTCATATTTAATTTTCTGAAATCAGTGAAGAAGCAAAAAAAAATTTTGGAAAATTCATCTATCCATCTTCTGTCTAGTAAACATAAAAATAATTAAAATCGATAAACTGAATATGGCTTGGTTAACATATCTTCTGAAGGCCTTGATTACCATCTGACCCAAGAAGATCACAAGCAGTGACCTCGGCACCACCACCCCCAGGCCGACACATTCTGTATCTCCAAAGTGGTGATTCTGCTTTATTTTAAGCCCTTAATGAAGTGGGGAGCATTATTCTCCTTAGGTCCACAATGGGCTCCCGGACAGCAGCAGCTGTCAGCCCAGCGGGTTTCAGCTTGCTGCTCAGTACAGACTGACTTAGAGCCTTGGCAAGGATGAATGAAAGCCCTGTGTTTATGGGAAAATGCTTAAGTTGTCTACTCTCTTTTTGTTGCTATTGTTTTACAGTCCAAGTTCCACTTAATAGACAGCAGGAAAAAGCTGCTCCATCCTCAGTAGCAGTGGAAACAGTCATTCTCACTGTCTTGCACCAATATAGCTTAACTGAGGTCATCAACCAACCAACAGAGTGATGGTAGGTGCTCTGCAAGTGGGGGGATCTGACTACTCACCACCATATGGTTATTTCCAGCCACATTCCGGCTCTAACTCTTACCTTCTCACAGATGCATCTCTAAACTTATTCCATTCCCAGAAGTTT